CCTCATGCAAACAATAACAACCGCACGGCAGTAACCTCGTGCCACAATAACATCCGCACGGCAGAAACCTCGTGCCACAATAACATCCGCACGGCAGAAACCTCGTGCCATAATAAAATCCACACGGCAGAAACCTCGTGCCACAATAACATCCGCACAACAGAAACCTCATTCCATATGACACTGAATACCACAACAACAACAACGACAATAACACAAGAGTACAACAAGTAATTCAACTCAAGAACTCCAAAACATAAAAAGGCGAAAGAACGAACTCACAAGAAAAGACACAACAGGAGATAATGGTACAACATAGCAATAGCTCGACAAGGAAGGGATAATGTGTAGCAATGATACCACATAAGTACAATTCAACGATAAGAGGGATAACATGAATCAATGACTCTAATTAGTGGTAAGTCAACAATGATAAGGGATAACAAATCTTCACTTAGGGTGGAGCAATTATGGAAGAAATTCAGCAAATTCAATTAAGGATAAGCAGATTATGGAAAAGATAATAATAACTTCAATCAAGGATAAACAATTACGAGAAGTATAGCATAGCAATAAAAGAGGCAACAACTTCAGTCAAGGCACATAAGAGTTTAATCGACAATAACGGTAAAACATGAAGCAATTACTTCCAATTAAGACATGTAAGGGTGAATTTAGTAAATGGGGGATTTAATATAAAAAAAATAACTTCATATCTAATGAACATAAGAACCTAAGAGCCCTAAAAAATTTCTACAAATAAGCCCGAGCACGTACTCGTCACCTCGCGTACGCAGACTTCACATGACACAATTAGCACCAAAGACTCAAATTCTAAGGGGTAGTTTCCCCCACACAAGGTTAGGCAAGATACTTACCTCAAACCACGCTCAATCAATCTAATCCTTTTCCCCCGATTTTCCAACTTCGAACGACTCGAATCTCGCCAAAACAATTTCATACTATAATATAACTATTGGAAACTAATTTAAATAACTATAGCTAAGAATTGAAAAATCGCTCCAAAATTCTACCTGGGCCCACATCTCAGAACCCGACCAAAATTATAAAACCTGAACACCTATTCAATAACGAGTCCAACCATACAATAATTACCAAATTCCGATATCAATTCGTCCTTTAAATCATCATTTTACATTTTGAAAGATTTCTATAAATTTTCCCTAAATTTTCAACTTAATTCACTAATTAAATGATGAAAATAGCAATGGATTCATGAAAAATAACAAGATTCGGGTAGAGAACACTTATCCCAATGAGTTGCTAGAAAAACCCACGCATAATCTCCCAAAACCGAGGTCTACAACTCCAAAAATGAATAAATCCTCAAACCCCTTCGAAATATATGTTCTGCCCAGTGCCTTCCACTTTTACAGACAGGATTTGCGCACTTGCGCACTCGCATTTGCGAGCAAATTTCTGCATCTACGGATTTCACTCAACAGCCAACCTCTCGCACCTGCGTACCTTCTTTTGCTTCAGTGCAACTGCAGGTGCGACGCCCCAAGTCGCTTCTACGCAACAAGTCGCTTATGCGACCAGCATATCGCTTCTGCGAAGCCGCAGGAGCGTGCCCATCTCCTGCACCTGCGAAGCCTCCCAAGCCCATCCTTACTCGCTTCTGCGCCTCCATCATCGCACCTGCGACCATCGCACCTGCGCCCCCTGGTCCGTAGGTGCGACCACACCAGAACTCAGCCCAAGCCAGCCTTACCCAAAAATGTTCCAATTGATCCGAAGCTCGTCCGAAACTCACTCGAGCCCTTCGGGACCCTGTCCGAATATACCAACAAGTCTTATAATATAATATGGACCCGTTCGAGGTCTGAAATCACATTAACCAATGTCAAAACTATAAATCGCACCACGAATCAAACTTATAAATTTCCAAATCTCCTAACTAATAAAACTCGCACCGAAACATATCAAATCAACCCGGAATGACGCCAAATTTTGCATGCTAGTTTCAAATGACATATAGAGCTAATCCAATACTCTGAATCCTATTCTGACCCCGATATCACCAAGGTCAACTCTCGGCCAAACCTCTCAACCTTCCAAAACTTCAACTTTTCCAACCTTCGCCAAAATGCATCAAATTACCCTACGGACATCCATATCCAAATCCGGACGCATACCTAAGTTCAAAATTATCATATGAAGCTATTGGAACTGTCAAAACCCCATTCTGGAGTCGTTTACACAAAAGTCATATTCCGGTAAAGTCTTACCACTTAAGCTTCTAAAACAAGAATCCTTCTTCAAAATTTACCCCGAATCATCCGAAAACTGAACTCGGCCAAACAAGCAAGTTATAACACATAATACGAAGCTGACCTTATGCCGCCGAACGGGACTTTAGTTCTCAAAATGACCGGTCGGGTCGTTGCATGATTAACAACGTAAGAGCTATGAATAACAAAAAAATAATAGTATATTGCTTTGTGATGCGTGTTACAATGTCTTCAATGAATAATTAGATCCCCTCCCCCCTATATAGTAGGGGAATCCCACTCTAGGTACAATTCCATAAAAGGTAAAAATCTCCCGTTTATCTAATACTGGATTCCCGCTGGTACATGCCGAGATCCGTGCCGTGATACTCGGTTGGTCACGGATATTACGGCCTTCCGTTAGTCGTGTTTGATTGCCCAATAATGCTCTCCGAAGTTTTTTGGGATTTGGACCGATCCCGGGGTCATGGCCTCGATATAATCGAGGCCGGGCGTCATGCCCCTGGTGCCTGACTCGATGAGTCCCTTACCTCGATTTCGGTTTCTTGTCATCGCGTTCCTTACTCGATTTATTTTATCGAAAATCGGACCGGCTTATGGGTGCGATTTCACCCGTATATATTAGGGATTATGTGTCATCACGACTCCCAAGGAGGGACTTTAAGTTGTGATAGGGAGAGGCTGAAAACTTAGCAACAAAAAGTAATTTCGGCAGTTTGAAGGCTTTCAAAAATACCTCACAAATTTCTGGTTTCTCTATTTTTAACTTGGGATTCAAAGATCTGGGAATTCAACATCACTAGTTTGATTTTATCGGGGCTTGATTTCTCGAGGATTATGGTTGTTTCTACTCATCGGTTACTGTTGGATTATTGTTGTTTCTGGTGGTTCTTGCTTACAAGGCCAGAAATAAATTTTATGTGTTTTTCTTTCTTTACTTTTGAAATAGGTACTTCTCTACTTCTAGTGTAAATTTCAGATTGAAATCAAATATAATTTAATTAATTTGGGACGCGTTCTAACTAGTATGTTGTAGTGGCTTGTTGTATGTGATTAAATAATTTATTTAGATGTAAATTGGTATGTAAATGTCTGCTAGGACGTTCTGATTTCTTGATTTGAAAATTGTGACAGTGAAAAGTGTTATCCTTGATGGTCAAGAGGTTAGATCTCACAGATCTGACCACTGTTGGTCAGATTTGAGAGTCATATGACCTAAATTTGAAAGTGATTATAAGTGTAAAATCATGTTTTAAGATAAAAGTTATTAGTTTCCTTGAATGTTGCCTATTTGAAAATTTTTGGTTATATTTGTATACCTATCTCAGCATGTAAATAAAACCTATATTTTTGTGTAATTAAAACCCGATTTGGACAGTGGCCATCTCTGCAAAGTTTTTTGTTTAATACGAAAAGTGATTATTTTTTACTTGAAACAATAAGTGGCTACTTGTGCAAGTAAAAATTTCCGAAAAATCAGTAGCCTCAGTTACTCAATTGAAAGTGGTTATGACTGTAAGGTGCATTGAAGGCTGTAATTGTAATAGAGTAAAAGGGCCAGAATCAAAATCCTTAAATCAAAATGGACTATGTGTTTAGAAGGAAACGAAAAGGTAAAAATTGCATGGGGGCGCCCTATTTGGGCACCCCTTTTTAACTTGTACCCGTTTTATTTTTTCTCTGTACCCGTTTTTTTGTTAAAAGCATTTTAAAAAGATGATTTTGCCCTTCTTTAGTAAAAGACAACTTTATCTCCAAGTATACGACATATTGTTTCTTGTCTCTATGTCTCTCTCTCCTTCTTCGCGGTTTTGATTTGTTCTTCTCTGAAATCAAATGGTTTTCGACATTCCATTCTTCTTGCTTTTGCGACTGTTTATTTCCCAACAACATTAAGTATAATCACATGTACGATTTTAATGGTTGCTTTTGTATATTGCATTAACTTTATATGGGGTTTTAATTTAGGATTAGTTTTATAATTTAATTTCTGGGTTTTTTGTTGATAGTAATCTTAGTTGAATCATTTTTTTTTTATTTGTGCTAAAATAGTTTCCTAGGGTTTACTTTGATTAGTGCATTAGTTTTGTAGGTTTTACTTTTACGATTAGTGTTTTTAGGTTTTTTGAAATTGTGTTTGTGTTTTTTATGAAAATTCTATATATTTTTCAGTGATTTTTGGAGACGTTAAAATTTTTAAAAATTTTGAGACTTAAATAGATGATGTTATTAGAGTATGAAGTTTATAATACTTTAAGGATAACTTAATTCTAGGAGATGAAGTTTTATTTTTTATTTTGTATAAGTATGTTTTGTCTCCAGTTTTTATTTTATTTTTGATGAACTTAAGCATTATTGGAGTTGAATTTGTGTTCTGTATTTGTAAAAACTACAACATATTTTGGCTGAAGTTTTTGTTCTGTAATTGATGAACTTCAGTATTCTTAGAGCTGGAGTTTTGTTCTGTATTTGCTGAACTTCAGCATTCTTAGAGTTGGAGTTTTGTTCTGTATTTCTCTTAACTTAGATGGCTTTAAAATATAACTTAAGCCAAATTGTGCTGAAGTTTTAACTTATTTTTTTAATAATGTTCTGAAGTTATTTTTTCAACCTTTAATTTTTTTGAATAGATGGCATCTACGAAATCCAAAGCACCTAGAGATCCTAAAGAACCTAAAGCATCTAGAATACGTAAAGCTCGTTTCGTCCCTGTTGCTGTACCTACAAAACCAGGGGAGAGATATAATGCGAGATTGGTTTAATTGTTGTGCTTACGGGAAGGGGAACCACGATTTGAAGGGTTTAATTGTAACTTTCTTGACTCTTGCACAACTGGAGAAGCTGAATAATGGTACATTTCAGTATATTATGACTATGGAGAATTTCTATTGCAGCATGAAGTTGGTTCATTGTTTGATTCTTTCTCGCGTATTCACCAATGATCGAGATTCCATTAGTTTCAAGATTTTTGGTTGTGATATATCATTCAGCCTTGAACACTTTCACATTATGTGCGATTTAAGGATCACAACACATAATATTGAAAAACTAATTAAACGAGAGAGTAAGATTCTGAAGCACTATTTTAGAAAGTCTAAGGGTGTGACCTTGAAGGACATTCGAGAGTATATGATACGGAATCAAATTAAAAAGGATGATGTGAATTTTAAATACGTATGTGAGAGTGATGAAGATACTGTGAAGCTTATGAAAATTCTTGTTGTGGAGTCTATTTTGTTCGGAAGAAAGAATGAATTAACTGTGTTGGAGGAGTATGCAGCTATTGTTGAAGACGATGAGGCTTGTCTTAATTATCTTTGGGGTAATGCATCTTATGAGAAGCTTATTACCTCAATGAAATATGCTTTGGACAACTACGACAAAAATAATTCAACTGAGTATACTTTAGGCGGATTTCCATATCCATTATGTGTTTGGTTCTAAGAGCGCTTCCCAGATATTCGGGACAAGTATTTAAAAGATGATGACTTTCTTGATGCCCCTCAGGTTCCCAGGATGTTACGTTATACATATTTGGGAGAGCCTAAATTTAAAAACTTCATAGGGATTACTTCAGTAATCATGGTGTAAGTTAATGTTCTTTATTTTTCTTTTTTTTCTATAGTTTTGTTAATATATTGATGTATCAGTTTTATTTTATTTCTGATTATATACTTTTTTATATTAAACAGAAATATCAGACATTTAGGGTATTGGATATAATTCCTACCAAAGAGAAAATGAATTCAATGCCTTTAGTTGGATAATTACCATGCAGTCGCATTCGTTGAAGGTACTGAATCCGGTTCCTTCAACTAGTGAATCACCATGTAGTCGGAGTCTATCAAAAGAACCAATCGAACTCCTATAATTGGAGAATCACCTCGTACCCAGAGTCATTTTACAATGGCGTTTGACGATGAATTAGTCAACACAATATGCCGTGTAAGTTTTTTTTGGTGTGTTTAATCTGAAGTTTTTCATACTATTTTTTGCTTAATTATAGAATGTTTTATGTGATATTTTTATTCTTAATTTTTCTGAACTTCAACATTATTGTTTGAGTTGAAGTTTTTGTTCTGTGTTTTGTAAAATTACAACATATTTTGTCTGCAGTTTTTGTTCTGTTTGTGATGAACTTTAGCATTCTAGGAGCTGAAGTTTTATTTTGTATTTTGTAAAAGTAAAGTATGTTTTGTCTGCAGTTTTTATTTTATTTTTTGATGAACTTCAACATTCTTGTAGTTGAGGTTGTGTTCTGTATTTGTAAAACTATAGCATGTTTTGGCTGAAGTTTTTGTTCTGTATTTGCTGAACTTCAGTATTCGTAGCGCTAAAGTTTTTGTTCTGTATTTGGTGAACTTCAACATTCTTAGAGCTGATGTTTTGGTCTGTGTTTCTATTTTTTGAAATTGTTGTGATGTTTCTATTTCTATACTAGAGGGTAAGGAGGGAGGTTAAAAACTATGCAACAGAAGAAAGGCTCATGATCGCGAAAGAAGTTTGCAACAACCCGACCGATCGTTTTGAGCTCGAGCACATCGTTTAGCAGTTTGAGGCTCTGAACAGCTTTATTTCAGGTATTATGACTTGTACGTATGGTCGGAATTGAATTTCAGGAAGTTCGGAGTTAGTTTGGGAAGAAAATTCTAATTTTGAAAGCTTTAAGTTGGAAGAATTGACTAAGGTTTAATTTTTGTGTAAACGACCTCGGAATCGAGATTGGAAGGTTCTAACGGGTTTGTATGATGATTTTGAACTTGGACGTATGTTCAGATCGGGTTTTGGATGAGCCGTGAGCATTTCAGCGCTTATTATAGAAGTTAGCATTTTTGGAAGAATTTCCTAAATTTGGGTTGAAGTGCATTTCAATATTAATGATGCCTGTTTGGGATTCCGAGTCTGGAAATAGCTCCGTAAGGCAATTCTAGTATTGGGAGCGTGTCCGGATGTGGATTTGGAGGTCCATAGGTCATTTTGGGGTCATTTGGCGAAAGTTAGAAATTTGAAAGTTTTTGAGAAGTTTGACCGGGAGTGGACTTTTTGATATCGGGGCCGGATTCGGATTTCGGAAGTGGGAGTAGGTCCGTAATGTCGAATGTGACTTGTTTGCAAAATTTGAGGTCAATCGGACGTGATTTGATAGGTTCCGGCATTGATTGTAGAAGTTTGAAGTTTCAAAGTTCATTAAGTTTGAATTGGAGGGTGCTTTGCGTATTTAGCGTTGTTTGATGTGATGTAAAGGCTCGACTAAATTTGTAATGTGTTTTTGGACGTATTAGTATATTTGGTTGAGGTCCCGAGGGCCTCGGGTGGATTTCGGATGGTTAACGGATCGAGTTTGGACTTGGAAGAAATGCTGAGGCTGATGTCTTCTGGTGTAACCGCACCCGCGAGGTTAGGGCCGCAGGTGCGGAGCCGCAGAAGCGGCCATGAGGGTCGCAGAAGCGGAGGCTGCCAAAAAAGGCCTGGGCCGTAGAAGCGGGCATAAACGCGCAGGTGCACGAGCGCAGAGCGCTTGGTGACCGCAGAAGTGGACGCGCAGATGGGCTACATGGGGCACAGATGCAGGGATTGTTGGGCCGAGCTTGAGCCGCACCTGCGATGGAATTTTCGCATGTGCGAAGGTCGGGCTGGGATGAATATTTTTTTAAAGCGGGGTTTGGGTTCATTTCACCTATTTTTCATTTGGTTGGGCGATTTTTGGAGCTCTTGGAAGGGAAGTTTCGTCATCTATGTCAAGGTAAGTGATTCCCACCTATTGCAAGTTAAATACTTGGATTATATAAGGATTTAGACATGGAAATTAGTAGAAATTTGGGATTTTGAAGAAAAACCTAGAAATTGGTATTTTTGGATTTTGACCATGAAGTTGGACATGGAATTTGGAATAAATTATATATTTGAGTTCGTGGTGTTATGGGTAAAGTTTATCTTCGAACATTTTCGGAATCCGGGCACGTGGGCCCGAGGGTGATTTTTATCGACTTTTCAAGCGGAGTTCGGAATTTTTGTAAATTGAATTATAATGAGTATTAGAGTATATATTTATGGGTTTGCACATTTATTGACTAGTTTTGGGGCATTGGGCATCGGTTTGAGTTGTTGGAAGGGCAGAGCTTGGGAGCCGGTTGTGGAATTTCAGAGCGAGGTAAGTCCCCTTTCTAACTTTGTAAGAGGGAATTAACCCCGTAGGTGAAATAATTCAATATGTGCTTCTATTTGTGGGGAGTTACGTACGCACGAGGTGACGAGTGTCTGTGCGTAGCTACTAATATGCTTATGTTCGGGTAGTCTAGGACCCAGATCATGTTATAATTGCGATGCTTGCATCCTACTTGTTAATTTAAATTGCTTAAATCATATCGAAACTTGGTAAAGGAACTTTAAACGGTTAAACTTCGTTCTTCTTGACCGTAAATGGGAATTTGTATTTTTATTGAATAGTTGCCCTTAGTAAATCTTGAATTTGGTTATTTTAAATTGTATTTTCTCTTTTATGGAGTGGGCCGAATGCCTCGGCAGGTTAAATAGATGCATCTATGGTTCGCGTCGTTCGACCCTCGATAATGCACAATTTAAATATTTATGTTGGACCGGGCCGTACGACCTCGACATGATTTGCGCATGATATATCTTTGAAATTGATAATAATTTATATTGCTTTCATTAGCCCGAGGTCCAAAAATGTTAAATGACGAAAATAAATTTGGAAATATCTTATGAACAAAAGAAATGTTTACTTATTTCATGATATTGAGCTTACAACCATTCTACGTAATCCATGCCTAATTATATCATTGATATTTTATTTATAGGCCATATTAAGTGTCGAAGTCGACCCCTCATCACTACTTCTTCGAGGTTAGGCGGAAAACTTACTGGGTACGCGTTGATTTACATACGCATACTACACTTGATGCACATGTTTGTGCAAGTACATATATGTCTAGTGGCCTTGTGGGCGCAGAGGCGCGGTTATTGTGGGGACTTAGGTGAGCTGCATTCTATACTACGATCCACAACCAGCAGAGTCTCTTTCAGAGTATTTATATTTCTCCGGTCCAAATTTGTATTTTGGACAGATGTTGTATGTTATTTTACATCCCCAGTAGAGGCGCATGCACTTGTGACACCGGGTTATAGGGTGGTTATGGGTTGTCCTGTATTGAAATTGTTAAATATATTATTATTTATTTTATAAATTCCATCTTTTACTATTTAATTGAAGAAAATATGATTTCAGAATTATTAAAATGAGAACCAAATAAAGTATTTATTTTTGGCTTTCCTGACAACGGTGTCCGGCGCCATCACGACCTTTAATGGATTTTGTGTCATGACAACATGGTATCAAAGCACTAGGTTCACTTAGGTCTCACGAGTCATGAGCGAGTCTATTAGAGTCTTGCGGATCGGTACGGAGACATCTGTACTTATCTTCGAGAGGCTACATGATTGTTAGGAGCACTTCCCTTCTTGATTCTGCATCGTGCAATTCGATTCCTTTGAGGCTTATGCCTTCATTCCCTTCCTACTCAGTATTATACGACGTGAAGCGCTTGTTATAATTTGGGAATCGAGGAATTTTAATGGTATTACAGATGTGGTGCAGGATGTTTCTCCCTGCTTATTTGATTGGGCTATTGTCATCGCCTTGCGGAAGGCCGTTCTGTCGTTGCAGTCAGTATCAGTATTACATAAGGTTTTGAGGTTTGGCATTGATTGTTATTATGATTCATGCATTGCTATCGCACCGTGTTTGTGTAATGATAGGATGCTTTTCTATGCGTCGAAGTAGTGAATGACTTGGAAGGAGGTTTAACCAGTGCATGACTCAGAGATCCAGTATTTTATTTCTAGCGGAGGAAAGGCACTCGGACTATGAATGTTCAGGTTTGGGTTGACGGAGTAACGAGACTTGGTATTTCGAGCATGGTGGAATTTTCATCTGTGATGTGGTGTCGTTGCCCTGGATTGAATATGTTAAGTTCGCCGATGTTATGGTCTTCATCAATTTGCCTTCGGGGCAGGGTAGTGTGAAATAGTGTCGGGGAAGCGGCTGACAGAGATCGCAGTGAGCAGTGGTTCAGGACTTAATCTGTCACGACCCAACTGGAGGGTCATGACTAGCACCCGGGCCATACTTGCCGAGCACCA